TCTAGCTCCACAGGTTGGGACCAGGTTTTCCCATAGTCATCACTGTATAGACTGCGGCATCACAGCGGTGGTGGGAGAAAGAGAACACAACAGAACGTACAGTACTGGAATCAGTGAACAATAATTGATAGAATATTCATTGGTTTGAGGGTAACATGCAAACCGGAAAAGTCTTTGACTTTCACCACCACGACTCGAATCAGGGACCTGCGCTTGAGGCCAGCAATGCTCTAACCACTGAGTTATGACATAGCAATAATTGTTAGAAGTGATACATATCCCCATGCAGCCAGAATGAAGCCTGGGACATGCAAGATAACAATTTTCAAAAGTACATTATTGAATCTGTATCCCATGAGAGGGCTTGGTTGTTTGGTCCAGTCTTAAGGCTTCCTTTCCTCTCAACAAACACTCCTATTTTCCTTAGAGAAGGATTTAGTTTGCTGTGGACATCCCATTGCCATAAAACTGCAATTTTACACCAATTTTCAAATGCATCAATAACAATACTGCTCTTTTCATAGTTCAGACTGACAGAAATTTTGAGTACGGGCTTCAAGGACTGCACAGTACAACACATTCTAAGTGCAGAAAACGCCACAAGAGGAAGTTGACAAATTTCAGACCGAGGTGAAGATCAAAACCTGCAGTTACTGATAAAACTACTGTTGTAGACAAGATAATAATTATATCAGCGGAGCACGGTTTGTGAATCCATAGCTGTGAAGTCTGTGCTCTAAATGTGCACGGCACGGTTAGCATGGGCTCGGGTTCTGGTGGAAATGATGGATACCGTGGCTACGTGCTTGCATTCTTGGGGTTGGTTTCATACAGAACTGAGGTAGCGCTTGTGTGGCACTGCTTGTTTTCTGCCAATGCGGGCTAATCTAAAGCTGTGCTTGGGTGGTTGCCGGAGTAGGCGAGAGATCAGTGTGAGGTAGGACAGCAGAAGCTATGATGTACGCACTTATCTCTCATTCTCTCTATGTTATAGTAAAGAAAAAAAGGACCAAGAAACTACATGTACAAGTTCTACTATAATGTCCACTAACACTACCAGTAACTAAACAATCAGCTAGTCATGCGATAACATTGCACGACACTGACCCACGGTACTGAAGTTCTACAACTAACTGGCTAACAGCTCTAGCACCACATCTTGGATGCGCATTCCAACAGCCTTCTAACTTGGAAGTCGGTACTGTCGGTCTGTGTCGTGCAATGTTATCGCATGAGCTGATTGTTTAGTAACTGGTGGTATTAGTGGACATTATAGCGTAACATGTAGTTTCTTGGTCCTTTTTCTTTACTATAAATTTATACTTGGCTCTACATCTGAGTCCATTCTCTCTATGTTCTCATCTGCACCTCAGCTGATAATTGTAAAGGGTGCAACGTTTCTCTTCTGCAGCATTTCCTGCATCACTGTGTTTTGTACAGATTTCGGGAAGCTATGGAAACATTGCTGCACTCTGAGACTGGTTGTAATAAGGAATTTGCAATATTTCTTCTCTTTAGTCATAATCTGCAGGATCCGAACAGCAGCATTGTGTCACTGAGAATGTAGTAGCTGCCCTTTAGGCTTGAGAGCCGGGCTGAGAGGTCAGATAATGGTTGTCTGTGTGGCTTACCTGACAATCTGCTCACCATTGCCTCCCTCATGGTATTTGTCTGCAGTGACTACGCACACCCATCGTGGAATTCCTGCTCCATTTTGGTCAAATTCGTCCTTATGAGCTGGGGTGTCGTCCTCCATTGGGTTTGTGGACAAATTTGGTCCATGTTGCTGCTTTTGGTCAGGCCGGTGCTGGCTGTCAGCCACAACACAGTACGGTTGGTCCAGATAGGCTCGCTCCAACATCACTGTGCTGTGTGTGGATGATGCGATGTACCGTGAATCCAGGACTGGTGCTGGGGGCCAGGCAGTGTCCGATCTATCCTTCGTGAACCTTACATTTGCCCTCCGCTGCATGCCCTCTTCAGCTTCAGCATTGTGAAGGTGGAGAGCGACAGCGAACAGAACAATAACGCTAACGGTAGGTGGCATCCTGATCCAGATGTTGGTGATTCAGTTTTGTTGAAAAGAAAGCCGAGACGTGATTATTTCGTTGTCCTCAGCCAAGCTCGTCCGCCATAAAGAAGAACGCGAGAGCTGTTTGCTCGCAGCTACCGGCCGGACCCTTGGGTATGTTAGGGGTCAACTTGTGAACCCGGCCTGGTTCATCGGCTAGCCTCTTGCATTTGTCTTGTACCGACTCGGCTGGGCCACACGCCACACACCACAGTGAAGAGCGGACGAGGAGTGTGGATGCTATTCTGAAAATGAATGGCAGAGAAAAAGGAAAGACTGTCTCGAATGTGATTATGAAGAGAGCCTGAAGCAGAAATGCAGAATGAGGCAGGGTTTTTCAATTTTCTCCTGAAGACGATTGATGAACCGTGGTGTGAGCCCGGGTTTGAATGCAGGCTCATACAAAAGTCAATCTCTTGACGCTTGCGCCTCGGGTAGAAAAGAAAAATAGGCATACGAAATCCTGCATCTCTTCGCGCTATCTTCATCGCGTCGTGACGTGTTCAGCAAGACACGCAGACTACTGACAGTACTGTAGAGTTTAGACAATGCTGGTAAGGCAAGACGCCAAGAGCCCGCCGATCCAAAACGGGTTGCCTGCGAAACAGATACTACCAGTACTACTACTAGTTCTGCTCACGTGATTATGCTCACAGCCGACCGTAATATTAGGAGGGAGGGAGGGAGGGAGGGAGAGAGAGAGAGAGAGAGAGAGAGAGAGAGAGAGAGAGAGAGAGAGAGAGAGAGAGAGAGAGAGAGAGAGAGAGAGAGAAAGCGGGTGCGAAGAGTCAAGACAGGGAGTTGTAAATTTCACCATGCCTTAGCCCTTCCCAATCTGGCTTTCGGCGCAACGACTCAACCTCTGACCAACTAGCTCGTCTAGTACAAGACATTGCCACCCTTCGTGATGCTCGACAGTCGACACCATATTGCTCTCTGTTTCTTTGACTTGGCAAAGGCCTTTGATACTGTCTGGCATCGTGGCCTCCTTGCCAAGCTACATATTGTCTTTGGTGTGTCTGGCCCTGCTCTGTCCTGGCTGGAGTCCTATCTGAGTAGCCGATCACAGTTTGTTTCTGCCCTCTCCATCAACTCTGATCCTCTACCAGTGTCTTCAGGAGTTCCCCAAGGCTCCATACTTGGACCTCTTTTGTTCGTAGCATACGTAAATGATTTACCCTCTATAGACCCAGGTGTCTCGTTATTTGCTGATGATACAACCCTACTGTCAGCATCCTCGTCCTCAGCGGCTCTTGTACCTCGAGTGTCGGCTCAGATATGCAGTGTCCTACGCTGGATGCAAACATGGCGACTTAGACCCAACCTGACTAAAACCGAAATAATGTTCCTTCCCCCAATCTCATCCATGTCACTTTTACACCATCCTGATTTCCCAGAACCCATAAAGGTTGTTTCCAACCATAAACACCTGGGAATAATGCTTGATGATCGTCTCTCTTGGTCTTTCCATATTGATGCTCTTTGCAGCCGTTCAAGCTCTGCCCTAGGTGTTATACGTCCCCATTGCTTCCATCTTCCTCTCAAATGTAAAATTTTGTTTTACAAACTGTACATCCTGCCTCTTTTCATGTACGCTGCTGTTAGGGCCTGGTCAGACTGCGGCAACTTTTGGTTGCCTGACGAAAAAAGAACAGCGTCCAGAATTTGAATCGCGATCACACTACACATGTGGGGAGAATGAAAATTCAAACTTCATTTCGAGCGTCAAGTGGTAATCTCCACGAACGACGTCAAATTCCTTCACCTTGGGATCGCCAACACCTTCAGTGCAATCCTTGAAACCATCCTTATGAGTTTTGTTGTTGTCCGTGGCCAATTAGCTCCTCGATATCGAGATGAAAAAATCAGTGATTATCAGCGTCAATGGCGTATCAGCGTCAAATCCTGTTTGGAGCGGAAAAGCGTGGCCCGTTCTTGCTTTTTTTTTGGAGCGTCAACTCTCGCTTTTGCCGCTCTGGCGGCAAGTTACTATGGAGATTCGGATTATAATCCTAGGATTATTTCGATTTTGCCGCAGTCTGACCAGGCCCTGAGCTGGTGTTAGGCCTTGACGGATTATGCTAGCATAATTTTTCGCATAAATCCTACCAAAATCGAATAATCGCATAATTCGAGGCAAATCGCATACGAATCGCATAAAATTGTAATAATCCGCCTGTTCGCATCAAATTCCAAACAGTTGTACATGTTCTACAAGTACAAGTACAAGTAGATGCACTAGGAAGTTGTAGGTTTACGACTCCTTTGATAACATGTCCAGCCCACTACAATCAATGATGGTCGTAGCTAGGTCGGACGGTGCGTTGACCCCGTTGAACTTTTGCTACTACAGTACAACGCCCTCTACAAATAAATTCCCCTGTTATTTTGCACAGAACCATTATGCATTAGCAGCATATGTGAGCATAATGCGGCATAATATGATAACTTTTAGCATAAAAATAGCATACTTCTGCAATTTTTTCAGCAATGCGAAAAGCATAATTTCACGAAAATATTAGCATAATCCGTCAAGGCCTAGCTGGTGTGGCTTGTCCTCGGTTCTCGCTGAGCATCTCGAAATCCACCATAGAAAACTTCTTCGTATCCTGTTTAGTCTACCCCCTCTCTACTCTTCTGCTTCCCGGAAGCCCCCCCCCCCCCCCCCCTGTATGTCCTTGCAAATGCTTGCCCACTGTCGACCCACCGTCAAAAATTAATTTGCACTTTTGCTCACAAATTTAAACTAGCTCTACATCCTCCTCATCTTAACATGTATAACTGGTTCCGAATCACAGATGGCTCCCAGACAAGATGCTCTGTTGCCCTCCCCTTGGCTAAAACGTCCTCCCTTGTACGCTCTCCACTCTTTGTTGCTTACTCTGCTTGGCTTGCGCTGCCCGCTACTACGCGCAATACCAGTACCCTGGACGCATTTAAATCTGCTCACTAGATTCACCATCACCTGTCCCTCCCATGCTTCTCCGTCTTGACCATTACTTTTCTTCTTTTATTCACCATGGTTGGTTAACACCCACATCTCCCGTACTGGCTGATTTTCTTCTCATGCCATGAGGTGTTGTCTATAATAATAATAATAATAATAATAATAATACGAAGTAGTGGTTGCGACTTCGGCGATGATTTGTAAGAAAGGGTTTGCTCCCCACACCGGAGCTCGCGCTATTCCGCCGACTTTACTTGACACTTGACTGACTCACGACTGCCATCCAGAGCACACGAGAAGTCCATCGAACCTTCAACTCGGCAAACCTGCAAGAAAGCACCACTCCCTGCTCAATACACAGTGTTTCGGGGAATTCACCCCTCATCAGTTGAGCTTGAGTAGGCTGAGGAAGATTGTGCCTGAAGAGCACCACTTATATAGTGCTCTCCAGGCACAAACATCACCAGGGATACAAACTTACAGAGACGCTCCGCTTCCAGCGCGATAAACACCTCGTGAACACCAGATAGCAGCGCGAGTCAGTGTCGCGAGTCAGTCAAGTGTCAAGTAAAGTCGGCGGAATAGCGCGAGCTCCGGTGTGGGGAGCAAACCCTTTCTTAATAATAATAATAATAATAATAATAAAATATCAGTATTTTAGTATCATGTGCATTCGCGGTTCTAGGCGTTTAGGTTTTGGTTTGACATTTGCACCCTCCTGCGGAGCCCACGCTGCTTTGGCAGTGGCGGAGGCTCGCTTGCCGACGTAACCGTCGGAGATCATCATGAACAATGGACTGACTAATTATTCACTTGTCCTGTCTTTATAAATAACATGTTATTGCATATGTTCTTGGTTTAGTTTTTGGCCTTTTTCGTGCTTTGGAGTTGATAACATTTTCCTCACTAAAAAAAAAAAAAGATTTTAATACTCCACGTAACGAAAAATATTTTCGTAGATCTGCTCTGTTTCGGTCGCGTTTGGATTAGCTCTTGGCGGATTATGCCGGCATGATATTTGGCATAAGGCCATGGTAAAAAATAAATTTGATTCTCAGGTCATGAGCCTGTGAAAATCGGTGCGAGCGAGCGACTTTTTATTTTATTTCCCACAATTTTTTTCATTTCCAAAGATAGGGTCACACACATGAACGTCACAGGTTATTATAATTATTTTATTATTCAGGCCAGGGAGTAGAAAAATACCGGCATTTTACTACTCCCTGATTCACGCCTTTCGCATTGACCGTTTTCATGTGCGAATATGCATGCATAGAAATAAAAAAATCATCGGTGCGCCGCCAAAAATCGGTGCGCGCGTACTTGAGAATCAAAGATAATTTTTTACCATGGCCTAATCTTGGCATTTCGTCAAAATATTATGCTCCGGCATTAGGCCTTGACGGATTATGCTAATATTTTCGTGAAATTATGCTTTTCGCATTGCTGAAAAAATTACAGAATTATGCTATTTTTATGCAAAAAGTTATCATATTATGCCGCATTATGCTCACATAATTATGCTTCTAATGTACATGTATATGATGGTTCTGTGCAAAATAACAAGGGAATTGTTTTGTAGAGGGCGTTATTCTGTAGTAGCAAAATTTCAATGGGGTCAACGCACCGTCCGACCTAACTACGACCGTCACTGATTGCAGTGGACTGGACTTGTTATCACGGGAGTCATAAACCTACGACTTCCTGGTGCATCTACTTGTACAATGTACTTGTACATTGTACAACTGTATGGAATTTGATGCGAACAGGCGGATTATGCGAATATTATGCAATTTGCCTCGAATTTTGCGATTATTCGATTTTGGTAGGAATTATGCGAAAAATTATGCTAGCATAATCCGTCAAGGCCTATCCGGCATAATTATACGGGTTCCAACGTGTAAGGTCGGCATAATCTTTCGGTTCAGACAAAAATTATGCTTAGGGGCATAATACAGCTTTGTCAGAAAGCCCGCAGATGGTTTTTTTTAAATACCCCAGTTACGACTCCTTGTCATAGCCCTTGGCGGATTATGCCGGCATAATATTAAATTTTGGCATAATCTTGGGATTTCGTCAACAAATAATTATGCTCCGGCAATATACGGATTCCAACGTGTAAGGTCGGCATAATCTTTCGGTTTAGACAAAAAATATGCTTAGGGTATGGCCGTGTGTGTATGCGTGGTTTCTCAATCCTCTATGTACAGCGTGAATACATAGTGGAACCGAGCATAATTCAGCATATTTGTTGGCATAATTGTGGCATAATCAAAAGCATAATTTGACGATTGGTCGAGCATAGTCCGCCAATGGCTAGTTTGGATCGTAGTAATTAGGGAGTCGTATTATACGATCGTACGACTCCCTGGTAGCAACTTTCGTTACTCGAACCCGGACGGTCAAAATCTTACGAATTTTCGTTGTGCGCAACCTCTCCAAATAGAGAGGTTGTGCATAACGAAAATTCGTAACTTAGACG